CGGCTTTGGGAGAAAGTCTGACATGTGTAGGTGAGTCAGCTAAAGGCCGTGTTTATAGGTCCCAGCCTCTGCGGTATCAACGTCCTCATCGTTGCTCCGAGGGCTGAAAGAGACACTGGTGAACCTTGTCCTGTTTCCCCGACCAAATCCTTCAGTCTCAGCAAGCTTTCTCTGTCAAAATTAAACAATGTTCAAATTTAGCCTCTCTACCCTCCAGCTGGGGGAAACTTGACTTTTCTCCCCTCCCATCGGTGCAGAATGTGAAGTAACAAACTCGCTGTAAAAATAAAAATAAGGTTCTTGTAAGGAGATGAAAGAAAAACCGTGCAACATCTGGCGAGCAGACGTTTGCAGGTTAAGGTAAACACAGTGTCCTTTTAAGGTAATACTCCGACCCAAAACAGAATCTGAGGTATGATGTGGAACACCTTCAAAGGAGTGAGGGGCCGGCACATCTTGTTTCAATTTATCCTCTCTGTGCCAGACATGCTCTTGGCCATAATATACTCCCACAAAGAGGATACTAGGCACATGCTCGTACAATAATGCACCGAGAGCCAGCCCTGCTATCAGCACATTCTCAGACACAAAAGTTTCTTGTTTAAATACGCGCACAGGATTCCATGCAGACACATTGGCAAGGACTGTCAGATATTCACGAAAGCCCACATATTTCCACTGTGACCTTCTGTGAAACCAGGGCGGGAGGAGATTAATTAGTTCAGGGCTAGTCCTCAGAACCAGCCACATGCCAGACCTTCATGACGGCCTGTACAACATCTGGCAGCAGGCATCTGGTACCATACATCAAACCAGATTCTCTCTCAACACTGAACGTTGGCCTGATCAAACTAGCTTCTAAAACTAACATTTGCTTTACAGGCCAAAAGGGGCCACGGCTCAAGAAGTTGTTGTACAAACACTGTTTCCAGAAAAGTTTGTAATGGAAAAATATGTTGGTTTCTATATACATGTATATTTATATATACATATATATATATATTAGGAATGTTTAGGGATCGGTCGGCCAATACTATAGGACATATTGGACTGATATTAGCATATTTAATAATAAGTATTACTTATTAGTTTAATTTTCGATAATGAAAACCCGATAACGCAGTGCCTGGGTTTCGCCAAATGATTTAAACATAAATAAATAGAGTTGTTTCATAGAGGAAATGTTGAAAAAGTGAATAATACTTCCACCTTTTAATGCGTCTGTATCCGTTTCTAACCTTCCGCTCCCAGCCTTCGTACCCCCAGCTGCTCCACACACACACCCTCTGCCCAAAGCTTTTGATGTGACTCGCTGAAATGTCATGAACCTACAAGGGCTCCAACCTCTTAGAGAGCTCTAATGAACGGGATAAAAAAATATGCAGACACATTGGCAAGGACTGTCAGATATTCACGAAAGCCCACATATTTCCACTGTGACCTTCTGTGAAACCAGGGCGGGAGGAGATTAATTAGTTCAGGGCTAGTCCTCAGAACCAGCCACATGCCAGACCTTCATGACGGCCTGTACAACATCTGGCAGCAGGCATCTGGTACCATACATCAAACCAGATTCTCTCTCAACACTGAACGTTGGCCTGATCAAACTAGCTTCTAAAACTAACATTTGCTTTACAGGCCAAAAGGGGCCACGGCTCAAGAAGTTGTTGTACAAACACTGTTTCCAGAAAAGTTTGTAATGGAAAAATATGTTGGTTTCTATATACATGTATATTTATATATACATATATATATATATTAGGAATGTTTAGGGATCGGTCGGCCAATACTATAGGACATATTGGACTGATATTAGCATATTTAATAATAAGTATTACTTATTAGTTTAATTTTCGATAATGAAAACCCGATAACGCAGTGCCTGGGTTTCGCCAAATGATTTAAACATAAATAAATAGAGTTGTTTCATAGAGGAAATGTTGAAAAAGTGAATAATACTTCCACCTTTTAATGCGTCTGTATCCGTTTCTAACCTTCCGCTCCCAGCCTTCGTACCCCCAGCTGCTCCACACACACACCCTCTGCCCAAAGCTTTTGATGTGACTCGCTGAAATGTCATGAACCTACAAGGGCTCCAACCTCTTAGAGAGCTCTAATGAACAGGATAAAAAAATAACACAAGCACTGAATCAATGAGCAGCAGCAGCAGCAGCAGCGGCAGCAGCAGCAGCAGCAGCAGCAGCAGCAGCCCTCTAGCTGTCACACTGATATCAGAGTGGCTCTGCCCTCCGCGCCGAAGCTGCAGGAGAAAAACACGTTTTCCCTCTGATAATAGGTAGCAGGCTTTAGGCTGTTAAACTAGGTCACTTAGCGGTGCATGCATGTGTGGAGCTTTCTAAATCTCCTCTCTCGGCTCTCCTCTCTCCTTTCCTCCTCTCACTCTGTAGACCTTTATTATATGCTTAACCTCCATCTGTGGCACTGATGGCCGAGCACCCCTCTGTAGCCCCGCCACCCACACTGTCGCACCGGCTTCTGATAAGAGTAACCACATTCCCCTCCACCGATACCAGCAGTGTATCGCTGCTGCTGCGGCTAATGCTGTGAGATGACCATGTTTTCATGGCCATAGAGCAGCTTGTCAGCGTTCATTTAAATGGAGCCGCCGTTCTGCCTGCTCCTGTGTGGCATTTCATTATCATGTCTTATGGAGCTCCACTCCTGTCTCTGTGGAGGGACAGGGAGAGAGAGATGGTTACCTTTGCTGCGTGGCCACACACTCAACCCGTTGGTGTATGATTGAATGATTTTGTGGGGGATCAATGAGATTAAGGATTGTAGTTTGTTCCTCCGTCGCTCCGGCTTAGACCTCCTTTAATGTCTGCCTTAGCAAAGCCATGTGCCTCTTCACACGGCAAACGCGCCGACGAGATGACGAGATTGGCGAGGTGTTGAAACTGTGAAAGTGCAAGCAAACGGCGAGGTATTTCTGTTTTTACAGGAATTACTGCCGATTGTGATTCAGCCTGTCCATGTGTGTAATGAATGTAAAATCCTTTTGTTGGCGTCTCCGTCTTCACACATGCTCCGGCTGGTGAGCATCCCGACACACGTGCGGCCCTCTTAGGTAACAAAGCAGCTTCAGAAGAGATCGCTGGGGGTGGTTTTCTCGTGGAGTGTGTTTCTAAAATGGGAGTCTTCTCAGACAATTTATAATGTAGGCGATGCCCGCAGGGCTACCTATCTGATATTCTGTGTGCGAACCTTGTTGTGAATCTCATCCTCGGGCCGATCCAGCAGTAATCCTAATAATCCGAGCTCGCACTTATATCCCTCTTTAATAAGTGCCAGATGCTGATAGTATGGATAAACAGAAAAACCGTGTTCTTGGTCCAAGGAAAATAAAGCGAGGGGGCCCAGTGGAATCCACACGCTGTGATGAAAGAATGTGAAAACAATCACACGCAGAGGAGAAAATCTCTCATCACTGACACAGACCGTGGGCCTCAGCGCAGAAAGAAATCTTCAAATGAGACATATTCATTTTTAAAAGCTGGAAAAGGATTCACTTTGAGTGAATTAAGTTTATAAGGGACTCAGAGCTCTGGTGTGGGTCAGGGTCCGTCTGCCTCACTCTTGGTGTCCTGTACTTTAATGTGATGTACTGCACGTTGACCTGACAGGAATGCAATTCTGCTCTGATGTCTCCAAAAGAATAATCTTCCCTTTGACTTTGAACACCAGATGAAGAAAAGCGATGAGAACTTTGTTGACCATTTTATAATTATCACACGGGTTGGCCAATTCTCTAAAAGGATCAGCTGCATTTTTCTTGAACTCAGCTGTTTCGGGCTGACAGCTTAAAAGCTGCAGTTCAGTAGATGGTGAAATTCTCTCAGAGCGTCTCGCCGTCGCCTCAGGCTCGGGCACCGTCCGGGGCAGGAAGCTCCCACAGACACAAAAGTCGAACGTCACTTTTTGCCAGAGCTGACATAGTTTCTCATCTACTCTGTGTGTGACTAGAACCTCCTGACCAATGAGCAGCCACCAAGCTTTAGTGACAGATTCCGGAGGCGATGGTGACATTTCACGGTCCTGTCCGATACAATGAAACTGATTTGACGACATCTGCTGCGCTGAACTGTTTATGCACAGTTTCTCAGTAACATATATTCAAAGATATGTTGAGTTTCTTTTTGGTTGAACTTGGTAAAATTATTTGTTTCCTCCTACATTAAAAATCCTGCAGTGTGAGGTTGACTAGACTCCCTCAATTGAACACAGATATGAGCACTAATGTGAATGGATCTATTTGACCTGCGATGAACTAGCGAAATGTCCAGTTTGTGACCCTGACCTTACCTGTTGACCTCTGGGATTGACCTCAGACGCCTTGACCCTATAGAAGATGAAGGAATTCATATTTTTATTGGCAAAAATGAAAAAGTTTCCAGTTGTCCCTTTGTGACATAGTCATATTAGCAGACG